TACTGTATCCTTCTCCTGCCACGCCCACCAAGCCACGCCCACAGAACCGGTAGTAAAAAAAAAGAATCCCACCACTGCCAAGGAGGCAAAAAATGGAGCATGGGGGGGCACACAGCACCCCCCCGCGTGCCCCTTTTTGCCTCCTGGGCCACAGGGAAGCCTCCTGGGTGAAGCAGTATGACAGCGGAATGGATCCCGGCACAGCTGATCGTTGGAACATCTGATTGTCGGGAGGGGAAAAAAAAACCTAAAGGAGTGACTGGGCAGGGGAGAATGCAGTCAGTGATGTTGGGCATGCGCACGATGTTGCGCATGAGCGATAAGGACCGACTGGGCAGGGAGGGGAGGGGCCAGCCAGGGGCACGATTTGCCAGTTCTCCGAACTGCGCAGAATCGTGACAACCAGTTCTGTAGGACTTGTCCAAACCGGTAGAATCGCACTGCTGCACACATACGTATCTTAGGGGTGGAGTATGCTTGTGTCAGGACATCATGATGGTCATCTCATTACTCAGAAGTATTGACTTTTGGGAAATGCCCCTGGGCAGGTATGGAGAAGCATAATGAATGGCATTGGTATAAGCTAGATTTAAATGTATTTTGTTCTTTTTACTCCATGCTCTAATCTTATTTGTTTCTTGTTCAAGAGCCAATTTAGTCTAGTGATTAAGACACGCTTAAGGCGAAAACTAGGACCAAAAATACTATTATTTCTCATCCTTTTTTGATACTTGCAGAATGTTGCTTGTGACATTAGTTGTTTCTCAGAGGCCTTCCCTTAATTCTGAAAAAAAAAGACCTCTAAAGCTATATATCCAAAATTCTATTATTTTGCCACCATATTTTGGTAAAGATAACTTAAAGAACTGCAAAATGGGCATTGTAGATGGCACAGGTCCTTGATTGCCCATTTCTGCTTAACTTAGATCTAACCATAATGAATTGAAACCAAATGTAAGACTTTGATTGTGGTCCTATAACATATTACTATATATTTTTACTGAGAAGAGTTACTCAAAGTCAGTGGGGTTTACACTAAGACAAACACACCGTGGGGTTTCTGTAGGCGCCACTTTAACTTAACAAGTGACCTATTTTCAGATTCTTTTGGGATGGAGCAAATTTTAGTTCCACATAAATGGCTCTAGTTCTGCACAACAAATTAAAAGCATTGCTTGAATAAGTGGACATCTCATGGTTGAATCAACTGGACCCCTTTGCTGGATTTTTCTTTTGTTGTTTTTAAAGTCAAGTGTATATTGAAGTGTATAATGTTATTAAATATTAAGATAACTTTGGATCCTATGATTTACTTGCTCAGGTTAACCAGAGATTTGCCTGGTAAATAATTGGTTACCTTGGCAACTTCCTGGAAAGGTGGGAGGTGATTGGCATTATAGCACCTACGTTTTCTTTAAGCAAAACACAAGCCAAGCAAATTCCTCAGCCAGAATTTAGGCAAGAATAAAGGAAAAGGAAACAGTTCAGACAGCTTTTTCCTTTGGTAAACTTGCTTTTCACTTCACAGGGTGAAAGAAGCCTTTTCAAAAAATGAGATGTCAGCCACAAAAAAGAGATGGCATAAGTGAAGGTTTCACTGAAAGAAGGTCTCTGTCTCAAACAACTGAATGAGAACCCTCAATTTAATATATATCCAAGTTAAGATTACTTTTAGGTATCTGTGTTGGAAAATCACTCCTAAAATATTAAAATTTATTTATTTTATTTTATTTGGTTTGTCAATTGCTTACAAGATAATAGGTATAAGTAAAAACATAGTTATGAATACATGGATACATATAAGAAAAATAAAAGAAACAATAGGACAGGGATGGTAGGCACGTTGGTGCGCTTATGCATGATCCCTACAGACCTCTTAGGAAAGGGGTGAGGTCAATAGTAGAAAGTCTAAGGTTAAAGTTTTTGGGGTTTGAGGAAGAAATCACAGAGTCAGTTAGAGTATTCCAGACATTGATCACTCTGTTGCTGAAGGCGTATTTCCTGCAATCAAGTTTGGTGCGATTAACCTTGAGTTTGTATGTATTATTTGCTCTTGTACTGTTATGGTTGAAGCTGAAGTATTCATTGACAGGTAGGACATTGCAATGTATGATTTTATATACCATACTTAGATCGGACTGAAGGCGGTGTAGTTCTAGGTTTTCTAGGTCTAGAATTTCAAGTCTGGTGGCATAAGGTATTCTGCAAAGAGTAGAGGAGTGAAGAACTCTTCTTGTGAAATATTTCTGGACTTTCTCAACTGTGCTAATATCAGATACGTAATGTGGGTTCCAGACTGATGAGCTGTATTCGAGTATTGGTCTAGCAAATGTTTTGTATGCTCTAGTTAGCAGTGTGATATTACCAGAGAAAAAGCTATGTAGGATTAGGTTAACAACTCTTAATGCCTTTTTGGCTATGTAGTTACAGTGGGCTCTAGCACTTAGATCATTAGAGATGAGTATTCCAAGGTCCTTTACAGAGCTTGGATCATCAACAAGATCTTCACTATTCAGCTTGTATTTTATTTTCTGGTTGTTTTTTTTTGCCAATATGTAAGACAGAGCATTTATTTGTTGAGATCTGAAGTTGCCATTTGTTTGACCATTCTGATACATAGTCAAGATCTTTTTGAAGGGTAGCAATATTGTCTGTAGTGTTGAACAGCTTTACATCGTCAGCGAGGAGAATGCAGTTGCTCTTGATATGATCACATAGGTCATTTATGTAGAGTATGAAGAGAGTTGGAATTAAATTAGAAGAAGAACAAGTTAAAGAAACTATGATTGCTTGGGGGAAGAATTTTGGATATGGGATTGATTTAGAGAAATGGCAAAAATTGTGGTCTCAAAATTATAAAATGACAATGTCAACAGCATATAAAGAAAATTTGTATAAGATGTTTTACAGGTGGCATTTCCCCCCCGACAAGAATAGCAAGAATGTTCAAGAATAAATCTGAAAAGTGCTGGAAATGTCATCAGATACCTGGCTCATATTACCATATGTGGTGGACTTGTGAGGACGCTAGAAAATATTGGACTAGAATTCGCATATGGTTGGAAAAAATGACAAAGAAACATATAGATTTGAAACCAGAGATTTTTTTATTGGGAATCTTACCTGATACATATAATAAAAACTTAAAGTATTTGATTGTAAATGTATTAACAGCGGCTAGGATTGTATTTGCTAAAAATTGGAAGAATGAGAAAATACCATTAGAAGAAGAAATTATTAAGAAAATATTGGAATGTGCTGAAATGAGTAGATTGACATTTGAAATTAGAGAACAAGAAAATAAACAATTTTATGAAGTTTGGAATCTTTTTTATCAATGGTTAGATAATACAATATAATAATAAAATATTTAGAAACCTAGGAAATAATGAATATACATTTTTTTTGGTTTTGATAATATTTTGATAATATTTTATTAAGATAGACTTGGTATGATTTTATGATTTGTTATAAAATAAATTAACTAAACTATAGTTATCTCGCTTAAGTATGAATTAGTAAAATTATAGTCAAATGATTGTTTAATAATGATATTAGGATATATAATTGTTGATTGATAATATGAGTTATTATGTAATATAATTATTATGATGACTATGAAATGGATGCACAAAAAGGAGTGGTAAACCAACCGATACACTGTCTGTAAATTTATGAAGGATGATGATGTTTTTATGTTATGTTTTATGTGTTTTTGTTTGTTGTTAAAATCAATAAAACTTTTACTTAAAAAAAAAAGAGAGAGTTGGTCCTAGAACACTGCCTTGGGGGTCACCACTGTTGACAGGTACAGAATTTGATAGGACGCTCCCAATTTTGACCATTTGTTGTCTGTTTGACAGGAATGCTTCTATCCTGTTATGCAGGTGTCCAGAGATACCATAAGATTTTAGTTTTAGGAGTATAATGGCCAAATTAGAAGTCTGCTTTTAGTGCATTTATAGCACATTTGTTCTTCTTTGTCCTGAAGACAGACTTATTCTGCCTATTGTACAGATCTTAAGGTACATTTTTTTCTAGTAAACCCAGTGTAATCTCAAACTTTGGGGGATGTTAGCATTGGTTGGGCTGTTTTCATCTTCTCTGGAAATGAGGCATTCACTGAGGAGAATATGATTTCCACTCCTTGTTTGCTGACTCCATGTAGCATGTGGGTAGAAAAGCCTCCATATATTTAGCAAAATTATTTGGATGTGTATATTATTTTTGCTTGCTCTCTCAGATCTTTCAAGACAGTATGATCATAAAAGTCAATCTCATCTTTTTCTAAAATGCTAGAGGTTCAGAATCCCTTCAGGATAGGGGAATATACTGTACTGTCCATTAACTTCCATGTTTATGATTTGAAAAAGTAAAAGCAAAAATAAAAACAAAAGCAGGGACTTTCCCCCGTCATGTATTAATATTTGAGAGATCTTGAATATGATCTTTCAGTGGGTGATCCCACTTATAAAAAAAATTACAAAACTAACTTTTTAAAATTTTAACCAGTGTTTCTTACACTTTTTTCTTTCAGGACCCTGATCCACTTTTAAAAATTAGGGAAAATGTCTAGATAGTGTTTGTTTACATGGGTTACATTTTATTAAATTTAAATTTGATGCTTTTGCTGCCACTATTGCTTCTCACAATTGTTTGCTCGGATTTTAATATTATGTACATTATAATACTATATGCACTACATTATTTTTCAACATAAACTGGCAAATAATGTTAATTTTGGACCTCTGAGTGGATTTTGAGGGACTTCCCAGGAATCCTCAGGCCGCACTTCAAGAAACACCCAGCTAGACTTTTTGTTCCTTTGGCCCAGTTCCTTTGCCATGATTAATATCTTATGTATATATGTTTGAGAATAAACTGCAGTATTACACCTGCTAAATAAAAAATAAGTTGTCTCAGTATAGGGACACAGTGAACTATGATTTGTTTCAGCATTGTAAGCCTTTGCTCCCCCCCCCACCCTTGTTTCTGCTTAGGAAATGAAGTTCTCCCTCCAGGAACTCCAGTTGGAAATGGATTAACAGCGGAAGCTGCAGAAGATCTTGGTCTGTCTAAGGGGATTGCTGTAGCTGCCTCTCTTATTGATGCACATGCTGGAGGATTAGGTACTCTGTGATATGATTGTTGGTTTTGTCATGCTGTTGCATCACAGAATAGGATCGTTCTGCATTTTAAGTTAGATCGACTAAACCAGGGATGTCAAACTCGCAACGTCACATCATCCTGTAACGTATTGGGGTAGATGTGGCCAGCACATGATGCATCTGGCCCATGGGCCGTGAGTTTGACACTCCTGGACTAAACAGATACAATAATTTTGTGCATAGGCTGTTGCAGCCAATTTTATATGGAGCTACCTCTGAAGAAATCTCAGAATTTCCAACTGATTAACATATGGCGCCATTTGCTAGCAGCATTATACCTATGCTGTGGTCCATTGCACTGATTACAGGTTGCTTCCAATTCAGAGGGTTAACTATCTTTAGCACCTGCTGAACTCTCTCTTCTGCCAAAATTTGGCTGGTCCTGTGTGGTCTCTGAAGGATGGCATGCTAAAGGTCCCATAGAAAATGAGGGAGATGGGCAATCAACCAGTGGTCCTTCTGAGTGGTCCCCTCAGCCTTTTAGAATATCTTAGCTTTTGAGATAAGGAATGCCATTAACCTCTTGTCCTACAATAAAATCCAGAAAACATGTCTATTCTACAAAGTGTATGAATGTCGAAGATTCTAGGACTATTTTAGCTCAGAGAGATGAGACAGTCATATTTTACGGGTTGTTGTTATTTTTGATTGTAAACCACCTCAGGTCCATTTATGTAGATATTATAGATATTCTCACGAATGAAAGCAAATATGCATGTCCCATTATAATGTTGCAGGATCTGATCTGGGTTGGAAATTTTGTCTTCTAACCAAAGAGAAGTTTTCTGAAGTTGGGCTCCAGCATGAGTCCGAAAACTCGGAAGACAAAACCTGTGGTCCCAGTGACCAACCCAGATTGGGTCCCGCAGGTTAGAGATAAGTGGGTAAATAAATAATTAAATAACCTATTAAATAAAACTGGTGGCAGGGAAGGCATTGGAAAAAAAACCATTAAGAAAATATTTGTTGATTTCATTTAATCAATTTGTTTATGATATCGTGAAAGACTATAGACAGCCTATGTCCAGTAACACCAAATAAAACAATATACTACACAAAAACAACAATCAGAAATAATACCTTGAATCTCTAATTTATGGCACCTTCTGTTCTGAGAGGTCTACAAAAAATCTGCAGAAGACATAAAATGTAAAGTATTGAAGAGCACTAAATAATATAGTTAACAGATTGACAAAAAAAATGAGAATATCCTGAGTACATGATAGTTGTTCAGAGCAGTCCCATTGCTACAGTTGTCTGTTCCTGTGTGATGACCCGAGGGGTGGCACAAAAGCAACAAAGTCATAAAAATAGGTAAAGTCCCTTTAATACCTCCAACTTGGCTCCCAATGTCCAGTTATCCTTGGCTGGAGATCAAAGTCTTCCAAAAACAGTCTACAAAGGGAAGAAATGCAGGCCAAACCCAAAGTACAGATAAAGTATAAATAAAAAAACCAACACAAACCACGCTGATGTAATTAACACGACAGGCCAGCATAATAAATTGCAGACTTCCAAAAGATAATGAAGCACACACAGTTGGGAGGACGCCAAAACCCAGATAAGCCCCGACAAAAGATAATGCATAGTTTGCTTCCAGCAAGGTGCTGTGTGCAAACACCCTTCTTATATCCTGTTCTCCCAGCTGCAACTAATGAAAGGGATCAAGGCCTTTTTCTCTCTCGTAAGCCACGTTGTTTCCTTTTCCGTTCCTCCCTGCATGCCCTAGGATGAAGAGGGGTGGCCCTGGGTCTTCCTCTGAATGCCCAGCCGGACTGTGCCTTTCCCGCATTTCTTCCATAGCCACTCCCTGTCAGCTCCTCAATCTCCCCCTCAGAATCAGACTCCAACAAGGGGATAACATCCTGTGATATTGCTCAATAAGGGCGTTCACATTTTTATCTTCTGTTTGATTACAATATATTGAAAGTGAATACTTTCTGCAGTGCAAATGTTTTCCTTGTTAGAGCATACATGTGTTACTGAAATAATGGGGATAAAAATAGATTGAACCACTGTGTCTTTTGCCTTATAAAGTTTAATTTCAGTACATTGTTCAGCTTGCATCCAGTACAGATACAGCATGATCTTTTTTTTCCCCCTCTCCTTCTGTTGCTTCACATGACTCCAGATCTGTTCTGGCATATGAAGCAGATTTGGTCTACATTTAAAATTCTGATGTACTAGCAGATGTCTGTTTCTATATATTATAGATCTTCATGTCTAAAGTACAGTTTCTTAGCCCTGGTCATTTAATGTTTAATAATTTATTCCATCCCATATTGTTCCAAGAAATATCTTGATGGTTAAATGAAAATTTTTATCTGCTTTGAAAATAATAATAATTCATTAGGTCAAGTTAATTGGACAGAGAATAAGTAGCAGGTAATTCAGCTGATATATAATATATCTGATATATAATATATCTTTCTTTGAAAAATAGTTAATTCTACTTTTCAGGATAACCAGTATCAGGTTTAGCGCATCTACCTCTCTGGAAAGAAGTTTTGAAAACAGGGAGAGTTTTTCATTCTTATTTGTTAATAAATTCAAATGAATTCTAGACTTCTGGAATATAAACACAGTTCCTTCTTTCTTTAGTCGATTTGGTGCGGATCAATTGTTCAATTTCCAGGCATAAATTAGAAATTATTTAAAATACTGTTTTGTCATGTTTAGAAACAATGCAAAACTGAAAGGAAAATTTGGGAGAATTCTCTGAGGATCTATAGCCCCCTCTCAGTCTCTTTATCCACTTACCAGTAGATAGATAATTTTTTAAAACTTTCTTCTTTACTTCCTATCCATTTGTTTTGTACACTACTGTGGAAGTTAATTACAAAGCAAGAAAGAGGATAGGGAGATTTCATTCTTTAGTGATTGATTTAATGTGCTAGAAACCTTGGACAATCATTGGGTTGAGAAACCTTGGACAATCATTGGGTTGATGTATGCAAGTTGTTTTCCTTATCTTATTTTCCACTATTACTTTGATTGAAAAGAAATGGTGGCTGCTTTATAGATTCAGTAAGTTATTTCTGTATACAACTGCCTACTATTTTTGCTACACAGACAGTACCCAATTGTGTGCAATATTGGTACAGAATTGATTTGAGGACCTGTTTCTCTGATTAGTTTTCCTTTTTAAAGAAATACACATTATATAACAGGCTCTTTGTGCGATTAGACTCTTTTCAGCCTGAATTTCTGCATATAAGAGTGCTTGCATTTTGATATTCAGGAATTCTGTTTTACAGAATTAAGTTTTATCTCAGTTGAATATGTGCTAGTGCTTCATTCCCTAGTGATTAGGAATACAGCTGACTTCTCTTTCCGTTATTGTTAACAATGCCTGTCAAAAGGTTTACAACTAAAAATCACTGTACATTATGCAATGCAAGTATACAAAATTATGGAAAATTCCTCAAATAGAAATTCCAAATCTGCAGAATGTGAATGTCTTCTTAAATGGAAGATAAAGAATGTCTTCTTTATAAATGAATATCATTTGAAGAATCAATAAAAGGATCAATAAAAAGCTTCATTCTTAATATATGTGGTCTCAGTAAAGGATAGATTTACTTTTGTACAAACAAATGTGTGTGAAGTTTATATAAACACAAATTAGTTGATAAACTGTAACAGAAATCAGCATACAGTAAATAATGATGCGGCTTGATTTAAAATGTCATAGTTGAACTTAAGTTTGAATATCAAGAGATGAAAATAATTGCCCACAGTCACCTCAAAAGATAATCTCTCTGTAAAGACCCAATCAATATTTTAATATACACTTCACTTAAAATCCAACAGGATTCCATTTTAAAAATGTTTTGATATTAAAAAGAGAGAGATTTAATGTAGATGCATGTGTTTATTTTAGAAGTGAAAGATGCCATGCTTATTGACAAAAGCATCTTATTGACATTTTCCTTTTCAACATTCAGCATTGAGATTTGATTAAACCTTAGTTACTGAAAAAAAATAATGATAAAAGATCAACACTCATTTTAATATAGTTCCACAGTCATTTGCATTCTGGTTTAAATTAAATGTTGAAATTAAAGTAGAGCTATATTTAGAGTTTCTTAGAATCTATACTGTTGCTTGAAGTTTTAAGACTGAATCCAGATATAACTTAGTTGTAAAAAAAAACAGTAGAACCCAGCGTCATGGTTTAGTTGCTGTTTATGTACTGTTCACCTCTTTTGGTAGGACATATGGAGAAACCTTAAGTATGTCTACTGAGAACAACCCCCAGATTTATTTATTTAGAATTTATCCAAAGAAATTTCATAGAATTACAAGTTGAATCTTTAATTACTATAGTCTGATTATTCAAAAAGATTATAACCATATTTTGTTGATAGTACTGCCTTCAGAAGTGGAGACTGTGTTTAGAAGTTTCGTCTTGTTTCTGCCAGCAGTTTTCACAGTCAGTTCACATAAAAACTAAAGAAGTAAACAATCTAAGAATTAGCATCAAAGCTTTAGTGAATGTTTAGATATTATTTACAGTTAAATGAAGTAGTCATGTTTTAAACTGAAATTCAGAATCAGTAAGAACAAATGAAGGGTTTCTTCGGCCTGGAATGAAGTCTCTAATTCAGCATTTTCCTTAACTCAAGTCTAGGACAGGGGTGTGAAACTCATGCCCTGCGGGCTGAATGCATCACATGTTGGCCACACCCACACCTGGTTTAGCGAACAGAAAAAAGTCACGATACGCCACGTAATGTCGATGTGACAATGCGAGTTTGACACCACTGAGCTAGGAAGACCAACTCATTTAATAGGGCATGAAGAAAACAGTTGGATTGCACCTGGCACTCTGATCCTAGAAATTCCATTAAAACATGATGGCTGATAGAGCATCTTCCAAGAATTGTCTGTAATTTTTTTTAAAGTATTCTGGAAGCAACTGAAATGGAGGGCTTTTGAGATTATAAATGTTATAAATGTGCTTGATAACGCAAAATATCCTTTTAAAGCTATCTGTTAGGTTTCATACAAGCACAGCTGTAAATCTGAGCTTTCTAGACATTTAATCCTTTATTCAGGAATCACTGTACTTGGCAGAATGTTCATAGACTTGACTCAGCAGAATTAATCTGTTCATTGCAGACAAGAGTAAAGGCATATTCACATAGAAATCTGCCCACTTCAGGACACCCAAATCACATTCAATATGAATGTCTATGCTCCAGGGTTTAAGTGTCAGGCCTTTTCTTTCCTTGGCTGTTCTTTTGATGCCTTTGGAAGGCACCTGATGTACATTGAAATAACAGTTGTTTTTAGCACAGGAACAACTGGTTCTTACCTTGCAGCCTTATTAATTATACTATAAGCCAGCAGACCTCTCTACATCTTTACTAGAGCATATTTTATAATACAGTTATACATTATATAAACAGCTATTTTCCTTTGGACTCTCAGTAATTTTACTGGAAAAGTCCAGGTTCCATGAAAGAAGAATAAGATCTCTTCTTCTACTTTCTGATTTTCTGAATTCAAAAACACCCAATGATTTAGCTTGATATGCATATGCAACTTAGAAGGGAGCAAAGTAGCAAACAAGAAGTCAGTACGACTACTATATTTCTGAAAATAGGACCTAACTGGAAAATAAGCCCCAATGTGTCTTTTGGAGCAAAAGTTAATATAAGAGCTTGTCGGAAACAAGTGTATATTGCCTCATCATTTTTTATTTTGAAATTCTGCAGATATAACTAATATACACACTTTCTACTACCAGATTTGAAACTTGTATCTCCTATAGACCTAGGGTATGTCTAGTGGTGGGATTCAAAACTTTGTACTACTGGTTCTGTGGGCATGGCTTGGTGGGTGTGGCCATGTAACTGGGTGGGCGTGGCTTTTTTGCCCTTTTTTTTGCTTTTTTACAGCCACCCCCCCATCTGTTTTTGGGGGCCTTAGACAAGCCTCCTGTACAGGGTGTTTTTAATACCAGGAAGCTCCCCTGGGGCTCAGGAAGAAAAAAAAGGGAACCTGGAGGGGGTGCGCAGCTCCTCCCCTTGCTCCATTTTGGGGCCTTCTGGGCCTCAGGAGCCTCCTGGGGGGTGTTTTTGCTCCCAGAAGGCTCCCCTGGGGCTCAGGAAGGCAAAAAATGGAGGGGGGGCCTGTGCCCCTCTCTTGATTTTTTGCCTTCCTGGGCCTCAGGGAATCCTCCTGGGCGAAGCAGTAAGACAAGCTAGGGGAATCCCAGCACAGCTGATTGTATGAACAGCTGATTGTTGGAAGGGGAAAAAAATAACCTTAAGGGGCGAGCGTCAAGTGGGCGGTGTGGGTGAGCATCAGGTGGGTGGGGCAAGCGAGCCAGCAGCGACTGGGCGACCGGGTCGGGGACGTGGCCAGCCAGAATTTAGTACCAGTTTGGTGACCCACGCCAAATCCTTGCTACCGGTTCGCCCAAAATGGTGCGAACCGGCTGAATACTACCATTGGGTATGTCCAACCATAAATCTTATTTAATTCTCCTTGTTCTTATTTTATGGCTTCATCCTACTGTTTAGCAGACTTTTCGCTATATTTTGCAAGGACAAGAAAATTGAAATATAGGCTGGTTTTTAAAAAATATTTGGCAGGTTTCTCAACAAATATCACTTAAAAGTTTCATTTTGCCTGAAAGGCCAGTTTTCTTCTTATTTTTATACCAGGTATGATTGGAGCCAACGTGAAAGGATATAACTTGCCCTGTGAAAATCAGCCAATTACTTCCCGACTGGCTGTAATATGTGGGACATCATCATGCCACATGGCAGTAAGTTCATGGTAGTAAAATACCAACTGTATACATTTAGCTGATGAAAAATGAACTTTTTAACACCTTTTAATTTCTGTTATACTCTGTTTTGAATTGTAAGGATTTTGAGGCTATTGTTACCTTCACAGGTTTATATATCATCATGAATTTGCCATAAAGCAGCCGCCATAATAATAGTAGGCAATTAGTAGTGTGGAAAAGGCATATAATATAAAAGCAGTTTAAAAATTATTCTATTTTGATTTTAACTGGGCATTATGAAATTATACCCATGACTTGGACTCTGAGTAACCCTTGATGAAGGTTGATGATGCTACTCTGTAATGGAATATTTAATGTCTTTAGAAAAGTCCCATAGACTTTCATGTCTCCCACCTCCTTACTTAATCAATATAAATCTTTCTTTCTTTGAGAGCTCTAATGATCTATAAAATTTTGAGACAGATTGTGGCTCCAAAAGAGGCAGGATAAGCCATTTTTTCTTCCATAATTTTTCTCAGTGAATTACTGCGAAAGCTTTTCCCTGGAGTTTTAATTACAGCTCAGAGTGTCTCTTTTTAAAATTAATATTGTTAAGCCTGAAGTCAATCAATTTTTGTGATTAGCTTTTCTATCACTTTTTATTCATTTAGAAATTATTTATGTTAACTGAATCATTGGATGAAATTTAATAAAATTGATGCATACGAAGCAAAAATGGTTAGGTACACACGTTCTCTACTAATTATAGTGTAAACATTTTGTATGTCTTTATATAAATTATATGTGTGGTATAAGAGTTTTGTAAACTGGTATTCGTAGTCACACATACATGTGTGTGCTTGCATGCAGGAAAAAAGCTACAATAATGTATTACTTGCAACAATAATCTAGTACCTTAGCATTCAATTATAAAGAAAATAATTTTGACCCAGCTGTTTAGATATATGAGGTATTGCATGAATTATAGATCCTAGCAAAAGAAGTATTTGAGTCTACATGTGCCCTACATAATTTTGTGGTGGTGGGAAATTCTTTTGAACTCAGTTTGGAATAAACTCAGGCCAAATAAATCCACCTGGAATCATTTTCTTGTCTTATCCCTTGTTCATCTTTCCTTTCTTATGCTCCTATCTCAAACTCATGAGGAAGTAAACAGGACAGTTGGTAGCGTTGAAGTTTTGGACTTGAGTCTTTAGTCTTCAAAGTACAGGTGGTCATTTAGTGTCCGTTCTAAGTTACAGCAACACTGAAAAAAAGTGACATACGGCTGTTTTTCACAGTTACGACCTTTGCAGCATCCCCATGATCATGTGATCAAAGTTAAGATGCTTGGTAACTGACTCATATTTATGACCATTGCAATGCCCTGGGGTCATGTGATCCTCTTTTGCAACCTTCTGGCAAACAAAGTCAATGGGGAAGTCAGGTTCACATGACAATGATGTTACTAATTTAACTACCGCAGTGATTTGCTTAACAACTGTGGCAAGGAAAGTCATAAAATGGGGCAAAACTCACTTAACAAATTTCTCACTTAGCAACATACATTTTGGGCTCAGTTGTGGTCATAAGTCAAGGACTACCTGTATACTGACAAGAAACAAAGGGCAAAGTGTTTTCAGCATTTAAGTACTGAGTGTTGCTCCAATAATGTATCTATGTGACTGCTAAGAGCCAGCACCAAAAATTTCCTTGGTAGCACATAATCGTCATAATGAATTTCTCTTTAAGAAAGTTTTTTCATAGGGAAAAAAAAGAACTAAGTTTTCATCGGCACATGTTATATATCACCGTATAATGGGAAATTACCATTGTGTAACAATTGCTATTGTTAAGGTTGCTGACTTGTTGTTCCAGGTGGGTCAGTAGAATTAATTGCATTGTCAGAATAGTCAATGTGGTAGTCAGTGCGTCTATTTATTTAACTAATTAATTTGTTTATACATCATATTTATATAGCTACCCATCTCACAAATTTATGTCTCCTGGTGTCACATAAAGAAGAGACAGTCATAAAAAACTAACAATTAAAAATTTAGCAATTAAAACATAAAGTTATTGATAACTATTGTTATCTTTTTACGTACTTAATTTGTCTTTTTGTTTTAAATGTTATTAAAAATAGAATAAGACCTATTTCAGTAAGTCTACATCATGATTAGCAAATTTACACATTGACCCCAAATGAATCTGTCCACAATAATTGCTTACCTTGTTCAACTTTCATGACATAAAGAAAGAATGGACTAAACAAGCTCAGATGTAAACAGACTGGGATTTCCAAGGCTTCCAGCATTAATTATCTTCATTTTGCTGAAGGGCACAGTATGTGGACTGGTGGGTTAAGATTGTCCCAGAGTTCCTTTGTTTTCTACATAAGAAAGGGGAAAAATGCGATGGGATAGACAACACAATGATGTCCCAAGGTTTTGGAAAACACAAGCTGGCTCATTGTGTAACAGAATACAGCAGTAGCTTGGACTAGAAAGTAAAGCGGCTTAATAAAGCACAAAGGTCCCAGTTATTAGTATAGATTCTAAAATATATCTGGCTAAATTAATTGGTCCTTTGGTCTCCAGAGTCCAATCACACAATTTCAAAGAACAAAGCCTAAAGAGCAATTTTCAGTTATGTATAATTAATGTATGTTATATATGGCTGGCTATCAATACAAAGTAGGTAATTGGAAATGTAAATAATGTACAGAAGTAAACCGAATCAAAGGGTGTTTGTCAGTCATGCTGAAAATGGGGCATGCAGAGGTGGCGATAGATGGGGGCAGTGATCGGCAGCAGTGGCGGCAATGGGTGGCAGTGATCCCCGTAGCCTGGAACAGCTAGGTAATCAGCGGTATTCTGGGAGGCCTGTCCAACTACCAATCAGCTGCTTGTGCTAAATCAGGCTGTGCTGAATCTGACCAGACTGTTTGCTGCAAGGAGGCAAATTGCTGGGAGGCAGAGGCTGAAGGGTGGGGGGCCCGATGGGTGGGTAGGGCTTTGGCAACATTCTCTATAAGACGCACAGATATTTCCGCCCACTTTTTTGCGTCTTATAGTGTGACAAATATGGTAATTCATATCTGAGGCCATAATGTTGTACACAACAACCTGAACAGAAAACAACTGAATACGCTTTTAGGATTGCACTGTAAATATGTTCCGGCCTTAAAATATAACTTTTTTCCCCACCTTTATTGTAACAAGCAATGCAATTTTCTACTCGTTGAACAGTGACAAACCTGGAGTGAATATTTGAAAGGTTTTTGGTTGAAGGACTCTTTTATCTGTATCTATTTATACTGGGCCAACAACATAGAGCAATTGTATATGTCTTTTTAATGAGATATATATGCAGCTGCAGTTGGTTGAAATTAACTGCACCTTTTTTTAATTAGGGCTATAAAAATGTAAGTTTATTATCCTCCATGTTTTTGTTAAAAAAACCTTTCTATACGTTTCTCCTTTTTATCCAAGGACCCTGAGGGCAATAGAGATGAATCATCAGGTTTAATTTAATGCAGTAGGAGAGAGACCTGTGTGGTCAAGTTGGCATGAAACAGTGGCTTTGATCTACTTCAGGTGCACTGAGCCCCAACCAGCCAGCAACAATAATATCTTTGTGAGATGATCAGAGCAGAGAATGAAATAGAGTGGTGGGGGGAACGGCCTGAATGAAAATTCAAGGCTTTCCTTTGTTGTGGTTCTGGCAAGCGAAAAAGTCAACTGTCAGGAGAAATTCAGCAAACATAAAACAGGGTGAAAGTGCAATGGTCAAGTAATGGGCTTCTTTCAAAGAATCTTAACAAGAAAGCATTCAAGATAATTTGTTGGGTTCCCATATTTTCCTACAAATGTGGCTGGGAAGTGCCATAGAAGAAGGAGGGAAAAAAAATACAACGAGAAGTGTTGGAACTCTTAATCTGGTAAATAGGAGGACTTTGGTAAGTTTATGTGCTTATAAAATTGTAATATGTACACTAGGTTTAAAAAAACCCAAATCTTATTAAATCATGTAGTCTACCAACTAGCCAAAAAACCTCTACAAATTAAATAAAGGAAGGTTTTCAATTTATCCCAGTCATTAGGCTTTTAATCAATAAAAGTTCTTAAAATTAATCTTCTGCCTTTTTTTAATGCATTGATATAAGGCATTCCCAAATTGATTACAGTTTACTAGGGATCTTTAAGATTGCTAAACAAAGATCCCATCTGGATTGCTCTGTTTGTGGAGATCAAAATAACTCTTTTGTCATTCTGAAAGCAGAAACAGACTTGTGTCCCCCCCCCTCCTGTTCTTTCTCCCATTTAACATTTTTATATTAGACTGACCCTGGTTGTTAATTTTTTTTTAGCTGTAGGATGTGATGAAGGACTGGGATGACTTATTCTTACTTACTTTCCTAACATTGAAAAAAGGTAGTTTCTTATGCTGAGGTTGGAGAAAAAAAATATCACATTGGATTTCTCCCTAAATTCAGAGACTTTAGATGGCAAAATCTGACCTAGTATGGTCCCTAACCTTAGAATGGGGCTAGAACCTCAAAATACATGGTCTATTTTTATTTTGCAAAACTCCCTTGAACATATGGTTAATTATTTTGTAATATTGCAATAAGGTATTCGCGCATAAAAATGAAGCACAAAGCCTCCTTCCAATTTTCCAATCCAGTTCAAACATTGATTAAAAAATAGTATTCAACTAATACTGTGTTCAAGGACCAAGGATGATTATATGGAGTTAAATTTATATTTCTTAGAACCATATAAATAGCTTTCATTCTTTCCTAACTTCCATACAGTTTATTTGTATCTCATGCTTATGTTTTCTTCTAAGTGTGCATTTACAAAGTTCATGCTGACACAGACAGAAAGGGACAATTGTTAAATCATGCAATTTGTGCAGGCACTCCACCCAGTTTCTGAATTAAGTCTGTGTTTTCAGTTTGGAGCTGATGACTTTTGGCCTGAAAATCTTGCAGTAACTTAATTTTCTCTGATTTTATCTTTTGGACTGTT